GCCGAGCCATCAAATTTTATTTTTGAGACAGAGTCTCAAGTTGTCATCCTGGGTGGAGTGCTGTGGCGTCATAGCTCATAGCAACCTCCAATTTGGGCTCAAGTGATCCTCTTGCCTCAGTTTTTTTTTCTATTTTTAGTAGAGATGGGGTCTCACTTTTGCTCAGGCTGGTATGTTCAGTACAATTGCTCCCAATACCCAGGTCTACCCAACTCACCAGATAGGCATTCTCACTCTCTCTCACATCTGCCATCCACCACAATCTCCACCCCCTTACTCAAACTGTTCCTGATATCTGAGATGTGCATAATATTCTTTCTTTCCAATTCTCTTTTCAGATATAGCTCAATTCCATTTTTTCTGGCAAGTCCTCTTTAAGCTAGACTCAACCTACTTCTTCTATATCCTCCCCTAGCACTGATGTGAGACATTCAGTTGAAAGACTGGGAAGTGGGTGGTTCGTAAGCATCAGGCAAAAAGGCCATACTTAGTTTGTGTCCTGAAGTACCCTGCTCAGTGCACAGGCAATATGTGGGAGAAACGGACCTATGTAAACAGGGATGGGGGTAGGGAGCCGAGACTTCTGTGTCAGGCCGTGCATAGAGTTTCTATACTCAGCCTAGCACTGATGATTGGCACCATTATGAATTACCCTTCTGTTGGTAGATGGAACAAACCAGCCAATTGTTTGCGTTTTCATTGCCAGAAATATCCATCTCCCCTCAGACGACCTAAATTATACCTATGCAAACCTTTCAGGCCTTGTCATCTCCTAAATCATTCAGGAGGCTTCCAAGGTGACTCTAACCTAAGGGTCCCTTTGTTCCAGTAAATTACATAAGTGACATTCAGACTACTAGTTCATATAGTGTCTTCATCAATCTAGCATTTGGGTGGCGGTGGTGGTAGTGGTAAAAGGACAAACATGCAACCGCTTCTCTTTTTAACCCAAGCCCCGGATGACACCTTGTCCCAGTCCTCAGACGGACACCGGGCCGGAGGAGCTCTGGGAAAATCAGAGCCCCTGCGGTCTCACGCCGGTTGCTAGGAGGTCAATCATATATTTCGCCCTAAAAACGCAGAGAGATAAACCAACCTGGAAGGGGTACACCTCGAAGCCAAAAGGACACAGCGTGTCCTCAATCTTCTGCTTCAGTTCTGCAACTCGCGGCTCCATAACGCACACTACACGCTGAGCTTGCTGGGGAATGGAGTCTCAAGGATAACTGGAGCGTCACGTTTTGCGAAAATTTGGACTCCATTTCCCAGGAAGTACTGGGACCAAGAGAGGGAGAGCGCTGGCTCGGCGCGATGCGTCCCGGGTTGTGTAGTTCACTTGGCCCTCAGAGCCAACCACAGAGACGCAGGAGGACTCGGTTTCCCAGCAGGCCTCACGGTGGGAGGGTGGCTGCACGTGTAGCCCCAGGGAAACGTAGTTCGGCTTACCTCCATTGCCGGTTGTCTCTGCGGGAGGACAACTCAGTTTCCCAGGTGGCGCTGCGGTGTCTAGTCCGACGTTGGTTTCTCTCATCTGATCACGAATTTGAACCCAGTAGCGGCAGTTGCAGCTGGCACTGGTTTGGCATGATGGCGCCAGTATCCTGGATCTGGAGTGATCTCGACCAATGTTCGACACCTTCAACTCCGACCTGATAACTGCGTATGATCAAGACATCTCGCTTTTCTCAAAGTTTTCTGAGAGCGCTGCTCTCGTCCCTAGTTCCAGAGCCGCAATTTTTGTCTAATACTACAGCCCCTATCCTTGGTATTGCATCCCCACTTCCCTATCTCGATATAACATTGTGGCCTTTTCTGGGCTGTACCTCGGGTATCCCCAGCTGGGAGCAAGGACGCAAGACACCAGGGAACCAGACCCTTGCCACAGGATATGAGTAGGAGTCTAAGCTGGTCTGAGCAGCTGGATGCGCTTCTCAGCGCTACTGATGGAAATGTGGCCCGGATTAAGGTGAGGTGTTGGCGCGGGCACCCAGTTTGCGTGGCAACTTTGAGCGACTCTTTGGAGCTCATTTCTCTGTGCAACTGTTTCTTTTGTAGCAGCGACTGTATCCTTTTGGGGTCTCCTCCGCAGGTAAGTATTGTTCCTTTAGACTCTCCAGACTTCTCTTTCCAAGATCTGACCTCTTCCAGGTTCTGTATAATCTACTACTGACAAATTCCCCAACTGTTTCGTTTCTTAACTCTGTTCCCTTCCACAGATAGACTATGCACTTATCCCATCCTTTTTGCCTTAGCAAAGGACCTGGCTGAGACCTGGGTTTCCTCTCATCACTTGCCTCCCAAGTTACCGGTAGGAGTGGAAAGCCAGACTCCCACAGCCCCAGAGAAGCTGACCTGGCCTGAGGTCTATAGTTCATTCCATCTCTGGGATGAAGTTACTGTTCTCCGATCCCAGCTTCGATCTCAGGCTCAGGTGAGGCTGAGAACCCTAGGTGTGTATATGTTGGTGTTTGTATGAGATGAGAATACTAGGGCTTGAGAAAAGACTCTTACACAGTAGCTGTGTTTTTTGTGCCTGGGTAGGTGACCGAGGCACTAAGGCAGGCTGTGCAAGGCTTGGTGGAAGAGCAAGAGCAGCAGAACTACCAGATCGGTGCCCTGGAAGGTATCTGACCTGTTCTTTTCTTCATACACACAGCTTCATATATGCATGCAATTTTGCCACATACTTTTTTTTAGAGACAGAGTCTCACTCTGTTGCCCTGGGTAGAGTGCTGTGGCATCATAGCTCACAGCAACCTCAAACTCCCGGGCTTCAGCAATCTTCTTGCCTCAGCCTCCTGAGTAGCTGGGACTACAGGTGCTTACCATTATGTCTGGCTGATTTTTCTATTTTAGTAGAGATGGGGTCTCACTCTTGCTCAGTCTTATCTTGAATGCCTGAGCTCAAGCAGTCCACCCACTTTGGCATCCCAGAGTGCTAGGATTATAGGTGTGAGCCATCACTCCTGGCCTGCTACATACCTTTTGTGTGTGCACATGC